CAGCTTACAGTTTTGCAATAGAGGCAGATGGACAAGTAAAATTCATGGGTCTCAAATTGCAATCCCATCTAAATATATTTCCTGTTTACTCTGCATCAGCCTTTTTTACAGGTGCAGGGTGTTCACTTTTGGCAGTTGGGGAAAGAAGTGATTTATAAGCCATAAGAACATCTTTTCACTTTCCATAAACAGATTACAGAATTAATTAAAATTTCAGCACATCAACTCTGCACATGAAAACTGCTCTGTTATTGGAGGCTAATGCAATCCAAATATGTGGAAAGTCAATCAGTTTTCCACAAAGCTAATTTAGGTGGATGGATCAGATAACAACTTAAAACTGACCCTGACAGATACATTTCTACTCAAAGACAGTAAGTGCTGAATGTTGCATTCCAAAAAGAACAAGGAAAATATTGAATTTTAGTCTATGACCATAATGCTGAAAAAAATAGTATTTTATTTATAAAAAATTATATATATTACATGATATATACACATAAAAGTTACTGCATGTTCTTTTATTTTTTTAATATTTTAATTGATTTTTAGAGAGAGGGCAAGGGAGAGGGAGAAAGAGAAACACCTATGTGAGAACAAAACATCAATTGGCTCCCTCCATCATGCCTCTCACCAGGATGGAACCTGCAACCCAGGCATGTGCCCTGACTGGTTATCAAACCAGCAACTCCCACTCCACCCTTCCCCAATCTCCAATGCACAGGACAAAGCCCAACCATCTGAGCCACACTGGCCAGGGCTGTATGTTCTATTTTAAATAAATGAAAAAGACTGTTGTAAAATGTAAATGGCATAAAGACAATATGAAATTTGCATTTAATCCTATTCATGTTTATCTACTTGCTCAAAGAATATGCTTTCACCTATAACATTTTATCCTCATGAAGACATATACAAAGGCATTGAAGAAGGTGGCTTCTTTATACCTTTACACTATTGAAACTATTGGTGTTCATTGTTATGAGATTTATCATCTCTAAAACAAGGATAATGAACACAGAAAAATAAAACATTTCATAAGCTAATGGATTTACTCTTATTGGCAAAACATGCTTATCCATCAACTTTATCCTTATATAGTACAAGTGAAAGTAAAAAAACCAAAAGGACAGAGTTGAGGTAAAACAATGAAAATGGAAATATCTCTCCTGAGTAACCAGTTTCTCTTTTCCGCCTCAGTTCTTTTAATAAGTAAAGGAAGAACATATATGCACAGAGAGGAAAACGTGGAGATCAGAAGAAACATACTACAGTTTACCATCCTGATGATCAGAAAAGTACTCTAGTAGTTTCGAAGTCCTTTGGAATGGCTGAGAAAACAAGACCATGAGTAACATCAATTCCGATACAGAGCAATTCGGATAGTAGCATAGCTATGTCTGTGGAGACCCTATTCCAGCTCTAGTACTTCTGGATACTCTCTTCATACTCTAACCTTCTCTCTTCATAGGGTAAAGTACTTCCTTTCTTCTGCCTCAAATACCATAAATGAATACTGAGTAATTTTGAGAACATAATTTCTTATCCACCAGGCTCCGAAGCTAGCCAAGAGACTGTGGAAAGGCCATCTAGACAGGGAGGAACTAAAGCCTCCTATCAACAACTGGCACAAAATGAATGAGCTATCTCTAGAAAAAGATCATCTGACTCCAGTCAAGCTTTCAGATGACTACAGTCCCAACTGATATATTGATGGCAACCTCATGAGATCCTGAACTAGAATAACTCAGTTAATCCATTTATGAATTCCAGACCCAGAGAAATTATATGAAATAATAAATGTTTATAGCTGTTTTAAACCACTAAGTGTTGTGGTAATTTGTTAAGAAGCAATAACTAATTCAAATTATTTCTCCTTATAGAAACAAAGAAATACACAGAAGTATGCCACTGGATCAAGCATCTTAATTAACAACATAATATTGTGGCTATCTTAAAGTAAAAAAATAACTTAACAAACTTTTTTTAAAAAGAAGGTATAGCCCAGCTTGGGTGACTCAGTGGTTGAATCAATCAATGAACCAGGAGGTAATAGTTTGATTCCCAGTCAGGGCACATGTCCAGATTTTGGGCTTGATCCCCAGTAGAGGGCGTGTAGAAGGCAGCCAATAGATGATTCCCTCATCATTGATGTTTCTATTTCTCTCTCCCTCTCTCCTCCTCTCTCTGAAATCAATAAAAGCATTTTTTTTTAAAAGGTATAATTTACATAGGTGAAATGTACATATCTTAGGTGTATAGCTCAGTGAGTTTTGACAAGTTTTAAAAAAAAACATATACCATGTAATACCCTGATCAAAAAGCAAAAAATTTCCATTACAACATTCCGGTCCCTCAATGCTATTTAAATAAGTTCTTCTATTACCCCTTCCCCCAACTACTATTTTTATATCTACCAGCATGGATGAGTTTTGATTTTTCTAGAACATCACATATATAGAAGAATATAATCTATTGTGTCTGGCTCCTTTTGCTCAGCATAATAATTTTAAGGTTCATCATGTTGTTGCAAATATCAGTACTGTTGATTTATATACCCTTATTTGCTTACCCCACTCTCCCACTAATGGACATTTGAGTTCTTCCCAGTTTGGGGCTACTATGAATAATGTTTCTCGGACTATTCTTTGCAAATATTTTGGTAGTCATGTATTTTTCCTTTCTCTTGGTGAAGTACCAAGGCAAGGCAGAGACTAGACTGAGGCAAATGAGGTACTTAGGGCCCAGAATTTGAGCAGATCCTCTACCTAGGAGTAGGATTGCTGGATCATAAGATAGATGTTTCTATAACAATTTATCCTTTTAAATTACAGCACTATAATTTTACACTTAGATTTGTCATAGATTCTTCTGTCAGGAAATCTACCATTTAAAGGACAATAATACTTTAATATGTATCCTATTTAATAAAAGCCTAATATGCTAAGTGTCTGGTCAGCCGTTCTATCAATCAAAGCGTAATATGCTAATGATATGCTAAGGCCACTCAACCGCTCGCTATGATGTGCACTGACCACCAGGGGGCAGACACTCCAACTGGTAGGTTAGCTTGCTGCTGGGGTCCAGCCGATTGGGACTGAGCAAGACAGGCCAGACATGCCCTAGAGCCCTCCCGCGGTCCCTCCCCAGCTGGCCAACCTCCTGGATCCCTCCCCGGCCCCGATTGTGACCAGTGGGGTCCCTCGGCCGGGCCTCCACCATCTTGCAATCTGGGACTCCTTGGGGGTCGGAGAGCCAGTTTCAGCCCGATCCCACAGGCCAGGCCGAGGGACCCAACTGGTGCATGAATTCATGCACCGGGTCTCTAGTACTGGTATAAGAAAACATAAAAATATGTACTTATAAAGGAAATTGGTAAATATTATATTATCAAATGTAATGCATATTAAATATAATATAAAGTTGACAACAATGTCCTTTAGAATGATCCCTATATCAAGTGAAACTCCTTGTTTTGCAGATAAGGAAAACGAGTAAGAGAATTGTCCAAAGCTGACTAGCTAGTTAGAGGTTTCTTCATCATATATAATGCATTATAAATTTTTATTCTAATTTAATCCAGCCTGAATTAAAATAAAGTGCAGGTTTTTTTTCCATAAAGATGTCGTTACAATTGGTTTTCAATTTAACATTAAATATCTTTCACAGCATCTGTAGCCTATAAAGTATAAACTTAAACTGGTGATCGAAGAGTAATATATTCTTAAAAAGAAAATAAAAAATGTGTGACATGCAAGAATTATAATTATAAAACACATTTACTAAGTGAGCATGAGTTACTTCTAAGTATATAGAAAAATGACTTTTAATTCCTATGGTCACATTAGACTTTTCTAAGGAAGCAAGTAAGGTAATAATATACTTGATAACTGCATGTTTCATGCCAAAGACTGCTTAAAACCAAATTATTTAAAGGAGCACTGAAAGTACTTTTATTCAATTTATTTCTTTTACTTCTATTAAATTACTAGCATTTAGTAAGATACATATTTTTCTCCCTTGAGAAAGATTTATTTTCAACTAGAACAGAGCAGCAGTTAAAAAGTATTCACTAGCCCTAACCGGTTTGGCTCAGTGGATAGAGCGTCGGCCTGCGGACTGAAGGGTCTCAGGTTCGATTCCGGTCAAGGGCATGTACCTTGACTGGGGCACATTCCCAGTAGGGGGCGTGCAGGAGGCAGCAGGTCGATGTTTCTCGCTCATCGATGCTTCTAACTGTCTATCCCTCTCCCTTCCTCTCTGTAAAAAATCAATAAAATATATTAAATAAAAAAAGTATTCACTAAAAATAATAATTTTAAACTAGAATAATTATAATCCTATAAAGACTCTTGGAAAGCACTTTTCATTGGTTTGGTATAGCTTTCTTTATGCATTAAAGAAATATTTTTGATAATTTTAAGATATTTTTAAAAAAATCTGTGAAGAAGCTCATTTAATAGAATATTTATAGTAAAACTTAGACCATATGCTCTTCTTGCCAAGAATGCCTGAAATAGAAAATAAATATACTGAGTCCTGAAATAATTGAATTTAAACTGTTGCATTAAATTTCACCCAAGCCATGATATTATTTTTCTATACTCGTCAACAGGGTCTGAAAATAATACAGTTCATTGTGTCCCTAGGAATACTAGTACCTTGTATAAGTTACCAAGTACCCCTTTCAGGAAAATACTCTTAATCTCAGCTACAGAACTGCTTAGTACTAAAAAGATTTCAAATTGTCACATATATTCTCCATAGGAATTTTTTTGTCAAGTGCTTCAGAGAATGCCTACTTCACAAAAGTTGAACATTGGATAATGTCAATGATAAATTTCTATGAGGTCTATGAATTAAATTTCCCAAAATGAATATCTGCACCTGGGTTTTATCATAATAACAAAAGAAACTAAAACACTGCCGTTACTAGTTAAAATGGCTTTTTGTTTGCCAACTTCTGCTTTTCATTTAATTTTCCTGATATTATATAGTACCTCACAGGTTTTCTTTCTCGGAGTAAATCTTCTAGGCTCTGTTCACAGTGTTCAGCCACTACCACCAGTCTCTCTGAATAAAACAAAACAAATCCATTTTATATGTTATATACATATTTTAATAACATTTCAATAACATTTTACAACATTTTATACATTTTAATAACAAAATAATACATCTCACTAAATATATTAACATATAGTACAAATGATATTTTAAAAGAGATTTTCAAACTCTATATTAACTACATAATTACCAAATATGTATAATAACAGGATCAATGTGTAATAAAACAATACATTAAATAATATTTTTTCATCTTGTGTTTTTCTCCCATGGAAAACACATCAGGAAAAATAAATAGAAAGGCTTACCTTTGGAAAAAAGTGATCCTTCCTCTGACATAGACTAGGAGAAGGAAAAGGTTGGGTGAAGATATAAAAAAATTTTGAAGGGAAGGGAAAATTAGAAGCTAGGAACAGATTATTTTCATAGCCTGGGTCCAACAAAAGGTCTGTGAAATTGAGTGCAGGAACTTGAGAAAAGTAGAAATACTCTGAATCATGACTATAGAAAAAGAACAGAAAATTGACGTGGGATTGTTTGTAATATCCTGGGGCCTTCTAAACTATGTAATAAAAATTTTGTTAGGCACAATCAATATTATGATGTAATTTTATTTTCTAACAGATCTATGAATGAGATAGCACAGTTCTGAGGGTTATATTTTTTCCTTCATCAGTAACCTTAGTAACTAACACATTGTCTGACATAGTAGCAAATGTATGTATATTTGTAAACGAATTAATATAAGAAGAACAAGAGAAAAGTACAACGGGGCTTACAAGTGGATGGGGTTTTAATAAGGTTATTTCAGAAGAGGTTAAGGGTTTAAAAGAAATTGCAATACTGTGAACATCCATACAAAGTGGATTCAAGGTTAGATAAGAAAGAAAGTTATCACAAAATATAGAGGGCAAAGATAAAAAAGTGAAGGTGCACCCTAGCCGGTTTGGCTCAGCAGATAGAGCGTTGGCCTGTGGACCTAAGGATCCCGGGTTTGATTCTGGTCAAGGGCAAGGACCTTGGATGTAGGTTCCTCGCTGGCCTGGGCCCAGGTCAGGGCACTTGCAGGAGGCAACCAAAGATGTGTTTCTCTCACATCAATGTGATGTTTCTCTCTGTCTTTCCCTCTCTCTTCCACTCCCTCTAAAAATCAATGGAAAAGTATCCTCGGGTGAGGATTTAAAAAAAAAAAAAGTGAAGGTGCAATGAGACAAGGAATAGTGAAAATCACACAGAGGTGTGGTGAAAATAAAAAGTAGCAAAGCTAGAAAAATGAGATAGAAGATAGGAAAGGAGAATTTCAGAGTAGGAAATCCAGTAAAAGGAATTAACTCGGTAACAATTAGTTCAAGGTCTGGTCTTACATGGGGGAGTAGAAATGGGAAATGGTATACATACAGGCAGTCAAGCGAAATGTGAGGGCAGGATATGGAATAGTCACATCTTGGAAGCTGAAACTCTCTGAGATGGTGGCATCATACAGAATGGACTGAAACACTAAAATTAAAAATGCTCTAAATAAAAGCTATCACTTTCAGGGAGAAACCAAGATGGCAGCATAGGTAAACACCGGAAATTGCTGCCTCGCACAACCACTTCAAAAATACAACTAAAAGACAAAACAGACATCAACCAAAACCACAGGAAGGCTGGCTGAGTGGAAATTCTACAACTAGAAGGAAAGAGAAAAGCACACTGAGACTCAGAGGAGGTGCGGAAGTAAACTGCAGAGGTACAGAGGCGCACGTGGAAAGGGGTGGCAACTGAGGACGCGGTTGTCTTTTTCAATCAGGAGGGAGTTACAAGCTCCCGATGGCTCTGAACTCCAGTTCCGGACGAGTCTCTGGGGACCCAGACTCATATGGGGAGAAACTGGACTGTCTGGTAGCGAGCAGAACT